CTGACCATAAAAGTTCTCACTATCTAGTTTTAATTTGTATCTGTTGCTGTTGATGTTTGAGATGGCAAAATCAGCACATTTTGAGTATTTTCTGGAAATTATCATTTGCAATAAATTTGTCCTATTGATTACCACTAAATTTGTATAAACTGTTTAGTTTCTTCTACTTTATCCACCCAAACGGCAAAAAACCTAGACGGAAAATGCGATACATGTATTTGCCTAGCAAAATGTTCTTGGCTCCTGATATATAGTTGCTTGTTGCAGAAACCACTTGGCAAAAAATTATGTTGAATAAGCAGTATACTTGGAACATATGCATTATACATATTAATTAGGTATAATGATCAAAATATTGCTGTTTGAACACGCTATCCTCATAGCTGACATACCTTCACGCCATTGACTCAGATCTGAATAAATACTATTAAGAGTTGTAATTAGAACACAACTAATTGTGGGTGATAAGCAGAAAATGCACTTCTCAAATGGATTAATTGATAGTGGTTTATATTGATCTCACTCTTTCTAAATATATGTGAAAGTTGTAATTATTCTCATATTATATGTGCCCAATTTTCTATGATGGCAAAGCCGATTACTTTTGGTGTAATTACAATACCTGCACTAGTACATCTTGAGAAATAATTTCGGTTTTGTGCTCAAAGTGTGTCAGGTCAAATTTCTGCATCTCACACATGGTTTTGCATAAATTTATTTGTGTTCTTCAATAATTCCCAATATTTAACTGTTATGTACTTTCCTACTATGACGCTGATATTTATAACTAACTAGACATTAAGTTCTACACGTGCAAACTTCAATTTTTCCACCCAAACAGCATAGTTGCGGAACTAAATAACCTTCTCCAGTTACCCTTCGAAGGATTTCGAAGCAATTAAAATTTGGCTTCAAAAGTCAACCCTTCTCTACGTTTAATCCACACTAACTACCAAATATTAATTATCAACTCTCTGTTTATGCTACATCATTGACAACGTTTGGAAAATTGCTTTTTGGCGATTTGAGGCTGAAATGGATTATTCCAATAACTAAAATGAGTTAAAATTTGAATCACATTTTAGTATTTTCTATTTATCGAAATCTTAGTATGTACCTAATTTTTTATGTGAAATTAGCCTTGCTACTGAGAATCAAGGAATCGATGCTACATTTTTGGTTTCCAGGCTTTCACATATGGCAAGTTATTTTACATTTAGTTGATTTAAATTTGAATAAAAAGGGGAAAAATAAATTTCGAATGATGACTGGTAATTTTTTTATCGGGTACATCGAACAAGGTGAAGGTAACAGTCTGTCATGCTGATTGAAAACAAACTTTCTTTTCAAATAATAAGATTCAGGCATTGGCCTTGAATCCACCTAAAAAGGTGACCCTGAAACAAATTGAACATCAGACTCTTCGGTTCGTTTCTGAAGAGAACAAAAGGCTGGAGGAAATTGGGGAAATGTGTGGCTGTTTATTCGAGATTGATTCCCGATAAATCGAGTTTCAGTTATGCAGTGTGATCGCTGAAATGTGTGAGTTGCAGTTCATCCGGTATGAACGAAACAGGAAAGTGAAAATATGACTTTTGAATGAATCATTCAAACGTAAAATGATTTCATTACGGACACAAACCAAGAACAGTCATCGTCGTAGGCTTTACCCAAATATTTTAATTGAGTCTTCAAAAAGCTTTCTCCGATTTTAATCGTTTCTTCCTATTTGCAATGAATGAAAATTTGAATACAAAGCTGCCACAAATTTCCATTTCTCCTAATTCGTATTGTGCATTGTGCTGATAATTTGTGACATTTCGGTCTTAATGGTTTAAGATCATAATTGTATGCGGGGTCAGGGAAATTTAAATGCTACTTTGTGAGTGGTTAATTTTTACTTCTACCTTAACGTTATTTGAGGTGGTTTTATTTGAACTCTTTGCAAAATGTCAGTTGGAAATGCGATTGACGAGAATTAAAAGTCTTACTCCAACCTGATTTATTAAGCAGTTAGAAGCTTCTTAGGTTGATTATTTGCACCTTAAAAAGAGTTGATCTAAATAGAGCTTGACACATTGAAACGTTTTTCAATTCCATATTGATAAGAAAGTACTTTAGAAGACTTTCTCCTCAGAGGTATCGTACCAACCTTCTGCTGCTTCATAGTCGTTAGCACGTTCAGCACCTGCTGTAATACCAATTTATTTCATGGTGGAAATGGGCCAAAGGCTGCTGTTAAATTAGGCATCTGCCAATAGTAACAGCCTAATTGAAACACCAATAAAGTACTAGTCGTATCAAAAAAATATTCGAGTTAAAAAACATAAACGGATAGAGTGCATTAAAAAAATCGCCATATTTAGTCTTATCAATAGCAAACGCCTCTTGGAGCGTCTTTAATGCACCAAGAAAAGTTTGCAGGTAATTGGGCTGAATTTCTAAGACTGATATTATAATTTAAACAAAAATAAACTGCTCAACAAAATCGAAGTCACATCGACAAATTTGGACTAGAGATTTGATTTCTGTTTGAAGCGTTATCTAGTGCAATTCTTTTTCAATTAGTGCCTGTTTGTGCAATAAATGGGTGGGTAAGGTAAAGTTTCTACAAGGTGGCAAATGAAACAATGCAAACTTGGTGAAAGTTCCATATGCTCTCCGTTGGATAAAAACGGGTTTTGTATTTCAACATCAGACAGTAAGATTAAGAATTAAAACTTCATGTCTCGGCAAAATTTTGTTTTAATTTTTCGCGCATCTCATCTCATCATTTTTGCTACAGTAGTCTCAAAAAATCCACTTTTATACCTAGCGATGTTAATTGTTGAACAGATTAGCAAAATCTAAGCATCGCAATCGCAGCTAAAACTGAGCAGTCCATTTGCAAAAAAATATATGTACAGGGTTGTATGAATGAAAGAAATTTTTGAGGGTAAACTTCACTTCAGAGATCAGAGATTTCGGGTGAAATTCTGATTTTGGAAAAGATATTTTTTCTCTTAAATTGTCTATGAAGTTTTAGCATCAACATGAGCAGAAGATCGTGAAAATCGGACCAAGAGCAGAAACGTTACCGCTGCAAGACCAATAGTTCATTTTTTGAGACCACAATGTAAAGAAACAAGACTCGTGAAAAATTGATAAACCTTTTTGAGACATTGGGTTTATATTTGAACTTTTGGTGTTCAGATATGAAAAAAAACTTTTTTATCCAACTAGCAGCACGCTGAACTTTCCGAAATGTAGCATTTTCCCATTTGTCACCATGTAGAAAATTTATCTGAGGTGCTTAATTTTTGCCAAACATTGACTAACACAAAACAAATCGGGTCAACAACGATTCAAACAAAAATCAGATCGTTCATATCCAAAAAAGCTTTTTTGGCCAACTTGCATGATGAACTTTTCAAAATTTTGCACTTTTTCATTTGCATCCCCTGTAGAAAATTTATCCGAGGTGCTTAACTTTTACCGAAACATTGACTAACATAAAACAAATCGAGTTCATCAACGATTCAAACAAAAAGCAAATCGCTTTAAAGAATCCAGTTCCAAGTGCAAGGCAAATTTTGCTATGTAACGATCATTTTGTTGAGCAGTTTAGATAAACATTTGTAAACATTTTAAATTTTTGGTTTGCTGATGCAATTTTTTAATAAAACCTTGATCTATTTGTGCTTAAATCATCAGTTGATTATTAAATTATCGATTGTAAATTTTGTTTATCTATCACACCCTGCAGCTTCTATTGAACATTGGAAGAGTAAACAATAAGAATTCACAAAATAAAATTATAATGCACTTGTTTGCCGCAGTGCCGCCTGTCAACAAATCGATAAATATTTTTTAATCATATTGGAATTCGTGATTTCTTGTGTTTTCTCGTTCCCCCGGCATTTGATATTAATCCAGTGCATCGCTCCAGTTTTATTGGGCTTCGCTCACGTAAATTTGATGAGTTTCTCGATTTTCAAAGCTGCTGCATGAAATAATGATATGTACGGGTTCAGGAGTGTTACTGAAAAGCTGGAAAATCGTAATGAAGTTTTATCCATATTTTTAGGAACATCGAGATATTACATCAAAAAATGAGGAAAAATCTGTAAATATTTCAGATTATTCAAAGAGCAAAGTTGATTCGGCTTTTGGGCGTATTATCTTTCAAATTTTCTTTAAAAAGACCCCTTGCTGTCATAACATTTCACTCCTAAAAGTTTCAATCTTCTTATTATTAAATTTGCTTGCGCTCACATTTCCTTCCCAATTTACTCGGATATAAATATACCAATGAGCATCTAAAAAATATTCTCATTACAAGAGATGGTAGCCGGTTTCTGACAATTTTTTTGATATGAAAACGACGCAAATTTACTACACACGTGCAAACTGGGGTTGATATAAATGTTCGCTTTAAAATTTGTCAACTGGAAAAAAATATTCATTATTAATAACGCGTTATAAAGTTTTTCGCGAAACATGAGATGGGGGGACAAGTTGGCCGAACGTCAGCTTGCCAGTCAACATCCGAAATTTAATTTTATTCAAGTAAATTCTGTAAGATCTTATCTTCTTACTGATTTTTGCCGTTAATCAGCTTGCTGATTTATAGATTTATTCAGTGCTAGCTTGCTTTTCTTAGCTTGATGGAGGGAAACTGAAAGATACATTTCTGAACGAAATGGTGTGTTGAATGTTTATTCTTGTTGGTACTACTTCGATGGTACTATGGTACCACACGAACCGGTGACTGCGGTGTTTTTTCCTGATCTTGTATATTTAGGCTCAATTTTAGAGATTTTAGTAGTTGAAATTTAATTAAATAAAAAATAAATTAAACTGTTGTTGGGGATTAAAAAAAAAATGGCGAAAAAAGGACAATAACAATAATTGTCGAGTATGCGTGGACACTTCGACCTGTCGAATGCGCCCCAGAAGTGATGTTTACAACGCTCTATCCGTCGCGACGCTTTTGCGGAGGCTCAAAGCTCAGTGTGCTCTCAAAACCGACGCCGGATGTAACAATATGCGGCTTAGAGCCCTCACTTTGTCGCTCTTGTCGGCGATCGTATTGCTCTACGGCAAGACACGTGCTCACATGAACTTTTTTATTACCGAAGAAGATGTTCGAAAGTTGCTGGGTGAGTGCCATTAAATTCATTTTTATTTCTGAGATCAACACAGAGCGGGGCAATTCTTTTAAGGACTTTGAGAAAGTTTATTAAATTTTATGACGCTGTTTGCTCCTAAGGATTTTTATTTTTCTTTAACTTTGCTTAGAGTTTTTTTCAGTTTTTAGCAATTTTTAATGGGGCATTTATCATATAGGAGCAAACGCATTTCAATGGAGTATCCTGTGTTTATTTTTCGCAATTTATGCATTTGCTTTAAATATGCAGAAGTGATTCAGTTCACTCCTCCTTAGCTGGAAAAAACAAAAATGTACGACACTGATAATCCTCTTTCCGGTTATCTGGTTAAGCAGTTCATATCGTTCTGAAGGAGTCGAAGCTTTTGGCATTTTCGTTTAGAGGCGTTTGTTTCGGTGTTTTCCGTTAGTAAAAAATTGATAATTCTCTCTTGATGTGAGGAAATAAACATGATGAATTCCCTAAACGGGCGAAATGGTTGCTATGTAATAATAACGTAAATATTTGAACTTAATTATGCTTTTCTTCCTTTACCGAGCACGGGAGCACGGGATTTGTTACCGGGAGTTTTGCTAAGTGCTTTTTAAATACGCGAATGCGTTTCTATGAAAACTGGAAAATTATATTTTCTTTGCCGCACCAAAGCTAAAGCGGGCAAAAATCTCGTTCACCAGGTAGGTACTCAAAAATGGCAATCCGGAAAATCCGCGTCTGTTGTAGTTTATTCCAGTCGGATATTGTTTTCACTGCAAATCCGCTTTCAGCAATAGAAATTATATCGCGTATGCCGCTTATGCTAAATAATGACTCAATGAAGGAACGTTGGTCGCTTGTTAATTTAAATCGAAAACAAAAGGCAAGGTTGTTGAAGAATTATGTAAAGCTAGAAAATTTGCGTCGTCGTAAATACAAAAGGAATAATTATAAACACTAAATAAACAGAGTTATGCAAAATAGCAGGAAAAATTGCCCGGAAAAATCTAAGTTGCAGTAAATATTTTCCCTTTGCGGTTTCAAACGAGACCTTTAGATGTAGTTTACCTACCTGTTTCAAAGTAAAAGGCAGCCATAAAAGTAGGACATTAAAAACCTGAGATTCCTTAAATTTAATGTAACTTCACACTTAAACCCAGTTTTATAGTGGCTCTTTATTAAATTTTCCTGCAGCATGCCTTAACAATGTACGGAATGCACTGGCTTTATTTCAATGAAGAAGTAAATTAAAGAAGTTAGGAGCAAAGATTCTCGAGTTACTGAGTGATGAAACTCTGAGCCAAAACTTTGAGAGTTTTGCAAGAAAAAAAACTGTACATATAGTGATTTTTCTGTTTGATGAGAGTCTGTACTTAGAGAAATTATTTAGCTCGTCAAACTTTTCAAGAGTGTTAAATTAAATAGTTTTAACCTTTCGCCTAAGCGCCAGATGCACGTAGCTTTTTTAGTGATGACAATTTGCTTATATTCGCTGCATACAACTCTTAGTATATTTTACCAATTAGTACTGAGATGTATAGAGAATTCTGTGAAAAACTGCAAAAGTACTTAATGAATTGTGCAGCGATGAGGATTCTTGCAGCGTCCCCAATCAATCCTGGATTAACTAGATTGGGTTATTTGGAGCCAATGACGACTAGCTAACTCTAGTTGTTTTATAGCTTTGTTTCCACTATTTAGGTTCTTCATTGCAATCAGACTTTAATTGAATAATTCCTTTACAAATTGGTGAGGACATTTGCGAAAAAACTAGAAAATTTTGAAGACAAATGATGTTTTTTATTCGTTAAATCGAGATTGTAATTCAGTTTCTTACAGTAGGTACCGATCTACTCATTGCAAATTATTGACGCAGCTCGTCCTATCTCCCTTGGCGTCAAACAACAAAGCCCCATGTCGCTTTGCCGTTTACTTTTGGAAAACAATAAACACAATGGGCATTATACACTGCTAGATAGACTCAGCTACCTTACATACGTGTTAATTGCCTGGAAGTTTATTAATTTTGTTATTTTGCACATTTGAGGCGTGATATCAGCACCTATTCATGTTTTGCCCGGCACTGATTTTATTTTTAATTAAATTTTCAAACAAATCCACAAAACCGCGAATTTTTGCATATAGGGGAAGGCCGGGTAGCACCAGGAAAAGTGAATTTTGTATCATTCAGCGTAGGTGGCGTACATCGTTTCATCTGAATGCAAGCAGGGAAGTGAAGAATTTTAGTAGAAGTTCAGAAGAAGATTTTTTGGTGTTTTCGATGAAGAGCAGTGAGAACGAATTTAACACGTTCTGTTGCAGTGTGTGTCATGTCTAGGCACTTCATCCTGCTTAATAAGAAAGTAAGTTGTCAGTTACACCCCGCTGTCCCATTGTGTCCAGTCCTCCCCTAAATCAAACCGCTAATATATCAAGTGAATCAGTTTTAGTTTTGAAATTTCCAAATCGCCAAATAATCGAGAATCGTAAATTCTAAAGGAGCAAATTGCAGGTGAATTTGCGCAAATTATAATTGCAATTTTCGGTGATAAACTTTGAGAACACATTTCAGGAACTTATAGTTGGGTGCGCATCTGGATATGATAGGTTTACAGAGCTCATTGCTCAGGTCGGAGGATGTTTACTCGCGTTATTCCGCTAGATTTTGTTCGGTTTGTCTTTAAAACTCGCTTTATTTCCCGCATTCGAATTTATCGATTCTGGAGATTTGAATGCTTGAGGTTCGGAATTAATCAACGGTTTCATAAGTATGTGATGTTCATAACGAGATTTGCTCTGCAACAATGCCTTTATTCCAAAGCTTGTATCGCAGCTGGTCAACTATGATAAGCCAAATTAATCTCAATTGTGTTGGATTCAATGGAACGTATCCTCTCATAGTTCCATACACTAAACTTCGTGATTTTAGGCAAATTATACGAATGCGCCCGGCGTTAATTAATTAAATGCAAATTAAGAAGAAAAAGCTTTCTTTTATCTCCGCCAATTTCCCTAATGTGTACATGATTGTAACAGATTTTTTTTAAATTGTTTAACTAGCAATAATTGAGAAAATACACCAATTGATGCTTTTTAGTAGAGCACAATCGACAAAATCACAAGCACATTCAAAAAGTTCTCAAACATCCTTTGCCCTAAAAAAGTCATGAAAAAGTTAACTATTAATACCTGAAACATTTTCCAAAATATGTCAAGAAACATCTTGAAACTAGCCCGATAATGGCTGAAAATTGAAACTTTTTCAATAAATAGGAAACACTTTGTCCTACAGAATAAATGTTAAAAGAAATTTGCAACTTCACTGGTTTCTGTTAAAATAAATGCCGGTGTATATATATAAATAAGATTTTTTTCTAAATCTGGGAAATAGTTCGATGACGACTCAAAAACGAAAATTTACTTCTTATAAATCTGACTATACCCAAGATAATTAATACAAAAGTCTCTGTCTAGCTTGACCGGTTGCTTAAGAAATAACTGCTAAACTTGGGCCTGCATCAAGAAGCGCAAAATGCACACACATTTTTAAAAACATCCTGAAAGTTTCCTAAACATAAGTGGAAATCGGAACATTTTCCACTTATAGAACAGATTCGGCTCTACAAATGTGACTTTCTGACTTTGCAAGTTCATGAGGAAATGCATGTCAAACTGTGGCCTCTTTAAAAACACGCAAAATCCCAAGACGCATAGAAAAGACACCCTGTGTTATAAAATGCATTTAAAGTGACTTTCTCACTTGGCAAGTTGCAGAGAAATAAATTATAATACCGTACAAAAATAACAATAAAATCCAGACGCGATTTTGCAAATGTCTTGGAAATTGCCTGATGATGCCATGCTGCACTATTGTAGAATAAACTTGGCCACACAAAATAGTACAAACGGTACTCTCTCACTTCGTTAGTTATTTAATAAATAAGCAAACGCAACCTCGTAAACCAAAGTCAAGTTTTCATCAGAAAAGCCAGACGCCTTTTTGCAACGTTCCTGGAAATTTCCTGATGACTGAAAATCTAAACGTTTCCATTTATAAAAAATACTTTTCCCTACTGAATGCATACAAAAAGAGGCGTTTTCTTCACTTATTACTATAACTATTAAAGTTTTGTCTGGAACAATTTTTGATCCCCGAATCTCGATCGCGTTTTCTGTTCTCGTATATCACGTCCATCCTATACGATGACTTGAACGCGAATCCTAAGTGATCCTGTGAGTTTCCATCGTGCAAAATCTATCGAAAATCTACGGGTAAACCCTAAATAAACTTCTCGTCCTATACTGAGTCATTGGGCAGCCACATCAGAACACAGTAAATCGTTTTATGTTTGTACAGTATTGATGTGCCAATTTATATATTGATGGTTCTGGCATAAACCACGAGAGCCAAAGAATAAAGCATAACAATGGAATCTAGCCGAGCCCGAGTATGGCTAGATTTTCTTATCTTTGAGAAAACACTCTTGATTATATTTGTTTAACGTTTATTTTTATCGAAAATCGATTAGAATTTATTGGAGGCTTTCTAAACTTGGAAACACTTGTTCTATTTATTATGTCTATAAAGTATTGATTTGTTGCCTTGGCCTGACAATTCTACGAAGCATGTTTTATATTGATCATAGAAAAATTGAAGAGATCCCTTACACAAAGTATGATTAATTAGTTTTTTATTATCGTCTATTGATTTACAATAGCGGGCTTTCTATTTTATTTGATTTTCTTCCTGCCTTATGCCTCACTGAAGCATTAATGGAATTAGGTCTTAATTATTAGCGTTTAGATTAGACAAACTAATGTTTATATTCAAAGTGCGGTTGTACTTGAAACTGCAAAATGCAGAATATTGTTGCGTGAATTTAGTATGAGCAACCTTCTACCATCCATTAGCGTAATCCTATTTTCAACAAAGGATTGGGTTTCTCTAATGAATGAAAACAGATGCAACCAGCGGCTAAATTTTGCCTAACTTGCCATTGCATTGCTTCATGAAAAAG